ATGGACTTCTCTTCTTAAAAGAAGTTCAACAAGGTGAATTTTTCTTCTAAACATAGCAAGAAAAGTATATTGTGTTTCATTTATTTTTTAATTCAGTGGATTTTCTTGTCTTATAGTAATTGTGGGGTGTTTCTGGGTTGTTAAGTGATTTTTGAAGATTTATATTGTAATTTAAAATTATTTTCAAGTAAGAATATACTAAAAAATGAGTTTCTGCGGTTCAAAAACATGAACTTTAGTTTTTGAATCATTCGATGGCAGGTTCCTTACAACAGTAAACAACTTGTGGCTAGCCTTAAAAAATAATCTACAAAAACAAACAACCAGTCGTCCACTCTTGAGGGAAAAAAAAAGAAGGTGCGGGCTTGGGCTTCCTAGCACTTGAGGTTTTTTTTTATTAAGACAAGGTGTGTGGACTTCACCTTATCTTTTTGTTTAAACAAATTGAATCAATTTTGTTTGTTAGATGGTGATTGATTTCTTTTAATTTTTGTAGTTGTATAATACTTTAAAAATATTATTTGATTTGTTTTAATTTTTTTTCTTTTATATTTTATATGAATTAGCTATATTTGTATGAATTTTGTATAAAAATAAAAATAATTTGTTATTAGTAATAATAATTAGGTATTAAAATAAAATTAATGAAAAATATTTTTCAAGCTAAAGATGAAGTTGACATTGCCACTATAGGTGACTTGTTGACCCTGTTGTCTTCTGTTGGAGAAAAAAGAAACAAGAGCAAGCCCGTACTTCTTATCCCAGGAATAAGCCTATGTTTTGGTTTTTATGGAAGTAAAACTTATGGGCTCAGTTAATAATTTTTTTTATTGATTTAAATACCCTATTGTCCACCTCGCATTTTTTTTTAATTTTTTTCTTTAATATTGAGATTTAAAATAAATTGGATCAACTTTATTTTTTAGATAGTAGTTGATTTCTTTATAATTTTATAGTTGTAAGATATTTTAAAGAGATTAGTTTGATTTTTTTTATTTAATTTTATATTTTATACAGGGCGGGGAAGTTAGCTACTATGAGCTACAGGAATTAGACATCTAAGAAACATGGAAGAAAACAAAGAAATGTATTTCACTAAATATGGCGATAAAACACAGTCTAATAAGAGCATACATGGCCACCACAGCAGTGACCCCGAAGGGGCAGAAACAGCAAAACCAGTAGAAATGCATCAGATCATACAATTCCGAACGTGAAGGACCAGAGAGAGTTTTAGCCTTCAAAGTCTGTTTTAACCCACTGGGTGTGGCCGTGCTTGCTCTTCATCTTATCATCAAACTCCTTCTCTTTAATTTCGACAATTTTAGCTACATTAGCCATGGATTCCTCTTGTACTCTTGCAATCCTTCTGCTCCTCTTCTTGGCTGTAGCCTCCCTCTCAGCTTCCAACCCCTTGTACTCTCTAACCCAACAGTTATGCACGGCACAACTCAACACTAACACAACCAGCTGCATTATGAGCATCGCCATCAAAACCCCACATTCCAATCTCACCAAGAGCTTAGCCTCTCTGGGGTCTCTGCTGGATTTGAGCATAGCAAGGCTGGGCTTCTCTCTTGTAAACAAGGCTAGTATGCTCAAGACTTGTCCAACTAGAGAGGCAAGGAGAAGAGAAACATGGGTTATGAAACAAACGTGAGTGAGCTGGGAGTAGAAGCCAACGAAGGAGGAGAGTAGAGAAATGCAAGAGCCAACAAGAAACGCAAAACCCAGTGAAGTCGGAGGCCATTTGAGGAGAACTGTGGGAACTATAGAGGCTGAGGAAAGGATAAAAAGAGTGAAATTCAAGCATGAAAGGAGAAGGCTTGGGAAAGAACACGAGCTTCTAAGCTTAGAGGAGGCCATGTTTTTGGTTGACGCTGGAATTGTCCAGAGTTTTTGCTGTTGAAAAGAGTGAGGGTTTTTGAATTCATATATAATGGAGGTGGGATTTGGCCGTTGGAGGCTAAGGACAACGGCTAGGGAAGAGATGGGCCACTCTAGCACCTCTAATGGTGATGATGATGCATCGTTCCCTCTCCACATGGTTCAAACTTTGAACTTTGAAGAAGTGGTTCGATTTTAATTTTCAAGGCGTGCTGTTCGGGCTTCAAATTATCAAATTAGGAAAATCACTTTTTGTCTATATTATACTTTATATTAAAGTTGAGCTATCGTTCGAGCAAGGTTAGTATAGAAAAATAAAGACAAATTGTGATGGTACCCCAAGCTCGTGACCAAATTTCCATTGCTTATATTCAAAAACAGTTGTCCACAACTGGAGACAAACTCGACCATGGAAAGGTTCAAGAAAGAGACAATGGAGGCTCCCAACAATATTGGTGCACATACTATCAGGAGGAGCAAGAAACATTCATGGTTTTTTTTTGTTTTTTTATCAGATTACGGAGAAGAACCGAGGGTGATGATTATGAAACTGGGGATAGTTTGGCACAAGGACCAACTACATGGATTTGTACAGGCATTAATCCAGATAATTTTGGAAGGATGAACTGAGGAACTTTCGACAAGGATGATTTTGGTAATAAATCACTTTAAACTTGAGATTATTTTCAAATTACTTCAACTTCAATTAGTGATGCAACAGAATATTCCTGACCTTTTTAGGTGAAGATAAATTCAATTCAAGTGTCAGATATGTCATCAACCACGAGAAGACTGGATTGAGCATGCATCGAAGATAGTCTTATTCAAAATGCAAAAAATGGACTTCAAGAGCTTAACTGGAAAGTGCAAAGTTCCAAGAGTTACAGAAAAGCCTTGAGAAATCAAAATATTTAGTTCAAGGCAATAAGAACTAATGACTTGAAGTGATGATAAAAATGGTTGATAATCATGACACTAAAGTCTTCATGATAAAGAGACTTGATTGAAAATCTTGTATTAAGCTTACCTGATGCATTTATATTTAGTTTTGATTATTCACTTTGGACATTTAACCATATTGCTTATCCTAAACTTTTTGTTTTGGACGGGTTGTAGTTAAGCAAATAGACAAAACACTTAGGGATACTTATGGATTAGATTTTGTAATATTCATGCTCTAACCTAAACCCTAAACTTTTACATCTAATCGGGTATAAATTAAACTTGACCTAATCAGGTTTTAAGTATACATCAAGTATCCAACAACTTGAATAAAAACCCTTATCACCATTCTCTCACTACTTCAAATCGCTTGCCTTGCATACACCCTTCTTTCATTATTGATATGATACCCATCTAAATTTAGCACTCAAGCTCATCAATATAACATTTGAGAAATTACAAGCTGTGAGATGATACATCTCTTAACAAAATGTGCCACTTGACTTGACAGCTTAAGCCAACAATAATTCGAGGAGACTTGGGCAAGATTCTTGCCAGCCTAATAACCTTCACAATCCAACTCAAGGATAATATGCTCCCGAAAGGAAATTCTAAAACACACGATTGCAAGCCACAAAATAACTATTAAAAATAACATATTCAACTCGCTTACTACCATCATCCACCTCAGAATAGATCTACCTAAAGGAATGATCTCCTCTGTAGAATTCTAATGAAGTTTCCAACCCCACAACCTTGAGATGCATGATGCTAAGAAGTGTAACCCACTTACTTAATGCATCAACCAGCTTGTTGAAGCTGCAAGATTGGTGCCTTAAGGAGTCAACTCCAGGAGATATGACACTTATTTGGCATAATGATGACTCAGATTCTAGTGCCCATTGATGTGCTATAAGGGCTCGTGATCAGTAATGAGAATAAACTCCTTTTGCACAAATTATCGATGCCAATCTTCAATTACTAAACAATAGCATAGAACTCAAGGTCATAAATAGAGTAGTTCCTGAAACTCAATAGCTTCTCGCTAAAAAAGCCATGAGACAACTGACATAGTGGGGAGTGACCGGCATGGTAACACAGCTTTTTCTAAGTCAGAGTCATTAAAGACTATGAACACCATAAATATAGAGGGACACATAAAATATTAAATTTTTATTCATCCAAGTCTCATTGTCAAAAGACTATTACAATCTTTAGTGTAAAAGAAACTAGAAAACCCTAAAAATACCAAATAAAAAAATCAAAGAGGAAAACTATTTCCATTAAATAGAAAACAATAAAAGCATAATAATACTAAATAGAAAAAAAAATTATAAATTGAAAAGGAAGAAATAAAATTAACCACGCAAAATATTTATTTTTTTGCATTACAATCCCGCATCAATCTCCTCCATTTGGAAAGAACTTGTCATCAAGTTCAAACTGTAATCATCACAAATTGTGTTCCATCATGAACATGTGGTACATAATGTTTTTAAGGTAGAACATCCTAAATCAGAAATCATCATCCACCATGAAGATGTTCTTAAAGCAAAACCATAACTAAACCAATGATCCTTTTGTTTGTGGGTCAACCAATCATGGGTCCCTAACACCTATATATTGGCTGCCCCATCATATTTTCCTAACACCTTTGTGCGAGCCACTCATCGTGAATCCCTAACATCACAAACAAGTGGTACATAATGTTCTTAGGGCAGAACCTGCTTGGTAAAAAAACCAATGATCTTTTTGTGTGTGGGCCTCCCTACCTTTATTGTTCATTTCTATTAGTTTAATTGAATAAATAAATAAATAAACAAACTCTTATTGTTCAATAGAAAAGTCACAACTCTCAAACAAGATAGCTTTCAAGTGGCTAGAAATAAGGAATTGAGCAATTCTCAAACAGGCTTTAAATAGTTCACTTCCTATACATTAAACAGGTGATAAGATAGAAAAAGATGTAGCCAACAACATTTACAAACTTAGGAATGGGGCCCTAACCCATCCTATGTTCCTCTTGAACTAGGGTATTGCCCATCTGGAAATGCTCTTTGTTTTCTCTACATGCCTTGTCCTTCGCCTTCTTAATGTTGGCATCACCGTTTTCCTAGCTGCTAATGAAACCCCCTTTAAGCAAAATTATCTAAGACATAAATTCAAAGTTACAGGAAAAAACATACCCTGATGCTCTTATAATTGAGAATCTTTGATATCCAACATATCATCAAAGATGTATATCCATAATACAAATATGGAGTACTTGGAGAAACCTCCACAGCCCATTTCCTCTACCACTATGGTCTCCATACCCACACGGCAAGAATTAGAACATCTATTCCATTTTACTAAATTTCTATGAAACTCATTTTGGTTAAGAGTTGTCACCATATAATAGTACACTTATATCACTAGTGGGCTGGGCTTCATTCTCTCTCGCATCACTAAAAATGTTTAATATTGTTCTCTCCTGTCACTAACAATATATCCTAAATTAGGAAGAAAACCCAAGTCTTTACACAAGTAATGAGATACACAAACTTCAGCCATACCAGACCTGAAAGGATTTGATATAAGCAAATACCTGCTCAAACAATAAATGTGCCCCTTTATCATAAGCTAGTAAACAATAGCCCAAAGAAATGATCATTAATTCTGGGCAAGGACAAAAAATATTCTAATATCATAAGCTAATAGCAACAAATAATAACTCCAAAGAACCAGTAGAATGGTCATTGATGTTGGGAAAAAAATAAACAACTAACGATGTTTATGTTCCATGGAAATTCTGTAAGAAATCAAATGACCAAAGTAAATGACAAGGATGGGCAACTCTTACCTTTTTTTCTAACACCAATCATGATGGATGGGTTAGAATGGCCTCAACTCTATCTAATGATGCTTGCAGCCTTCCCGAGTTCATGTTGAACAATGGCTCATCAGCGCCCAAAGCCCTGAAAGCATGATAAGGTTTCATCTATGAGCCATAACATATGAATAAATAAACAATGGCGGCAAATTGAATTATTTGGCATGTAACCCCAACATGAGAAACAGTTAACAACAGTAGCACTATAATCATAACTTCTCCCTAATGAGCTAATAATGCACTGAAGATCCAAGAACTTGCCCAGTAATTTCTGGAAGAACATAATCTGCCCTCCACCCAAACCGCAAATCCATGCCAGGGAACAACCCGAATGATGTCTTATTCTGAATCCTAGATATGCCATCTCCACCTAAACAAGTTGTAAGCTTCCATTTCCAACCAGTAGCATGCAACTGAAAATTATGGCCTATGCCGACCTATATTTCCAAGATTTACAAGTCCAATTACCACAAAATGCATACATCTGAGTTCAATAACCAATAAACTATCCAAAGTACAAGCTCTTCACTTTGGAAACTAACCAAACATGCTAAAATTCTCAAGATGTGGAAAAGGATAAAACCACACCTGGAGATTTAGAAACTTGGTAACAGGAATCTTCTTTGAAAGAATGCGTACATCCTGATGTATTGGCTCATATATGAATTTCCACCTCCGCTCAGGGGACAAAGGTTTTAGAACAATCTTGCCTTGGAATTCATTGGTTGGAGCATTATAGAACTGAATCAAAATAGGGACTCCAAAAATCACAACCAGACAAACAACAGATCAATTAATGCATGTATAGCAGCGCATCATAGGAAAAACAACAAAACAATTGAGGATGCCATAGCCAAAATAGACATCTATTCATTGAAAGAAAGAAAAAAATCCATTCAACCATAGCTGAAATGAGAACAGGAACATGTATGCTTTTTATGTTTTGTTTGACAACATACTGATGTTCGTCACTCTAACAGGAGCAATGAATCAGTTATTTATTTCCTTTTGCTACCCACTACCTTGTCAAATTTTCCGAGCAATAAAATCTTACAAAAGCTTAAGGTTCCACTCAGAAGTTCAAAACTTTCATGATCACATCTTAGTGCTTTGATTAGATTAGTTGTCTATCTTTGATAACAGAAATGCTCCCCAGTCATTTGTGTCAATTACTCTGCACAGAAATGTGAATCCACGTGAAGGATCCATAACAACGAATTCAAGTAGAAATAGGACATTGTCAAACATGGAAAGCTTGCACGATTTTCCAAAATGGTCATAGCCAGAGCTATTCACCAGACAGCATAGTAGATAGAAAAAGGCAGGAACAACGCACAAGAATACAAGTAGATTGCCATAATAGATCAATCTTCATAGTCACAAGTATCTTACATCTGAAAGGAATAACCAGCACCACAAAAAACACATTTTCTTTTACAATATTACATTTCCAGCAGAGGACAAAAAGAAAAGGAAAAAAAGAAAACCCTCACATCTTCACTCTCAGTGATCATTTTCCACACATAACATAGCAAAAACTAGCAATAACAAAAATAATCCATTTTTCCAACCTGTGCTGTATATCTTGGAAAGCAAAAAAGGGCAAGAAAATTCAAATTATACCTCTAAATTGACACCAACGCGAATACCCTCAATCTCCTTTCTAAATTTGAGAAACAACTCAGATGGAATCAAATTGATATTGTAAAGCTCTTCCCATGAAGTGGGCTCCTCTCCATTTGAACCAGAATCCATTTTTCAACTGCAAAATAATCCAACCAGCCATATCTCTCAAACTTTATTATTATTGCTATTATTGTGCATAAAAAATAAATCTTTTTGTTTGCTTTGAAATGAAAGAAATTTCTTTCATGTTTCTCCATTACTGAAAAAGCTTATGAAGAAGACGAATTCAATGGCGAAGCAGCGGTACCTTATGGCTATATTACTGTGTACGTATACGAGTATTTGTCATTGTATAATTATACCACAAAACTAACTCTAAGAGTGGAGGACACCTCTGAAGCTTCGTCCCAGAAAAAGACTAGTTGGTGGCTTACAATCTATTAGATACCTAAGATACCCCTTCTATCATTTAATTACAATTCTGTCCTTTTAGTTTTTTAATCAAAACCTTGATGATAATCATTAATACATCCTCAATTACTTTTTTTTACCTCTCAAAATCTCCTTATTTTCCCATTAAAACTATTTCTCTTTCTTTTTGTTTTTCCATACAGAAATAAATAAAATGAAAGGATTAAATTGTAAAAGAATTTTTTAAAAAGTCAAATATATAACTTTTAAACACATAAAAATTATTTAATTACTTAATTTCCTTTAACCATATGAACTAAAATAATTATTAAAAAGAACTAGAACAGCATGGCTTTTTATTTTTCCAAATTCTCAATTCAAACACATAATTGACCATGCATTTCTTCCTTTCTTAACATTTTGTTTCCTATCATTTACACAATTTATAATTCAATAATTAAATTTTATTTTTTTCAATTGCATCCCATAAAGTTATATTTTCATGGTTTATGTGATGAAATGTTTTTTTATTTGTTTTCTCTTATTTACTTAACATTTTGTTAAATATCTCAATGTTATCAATTTTACAAAATAAAATTTTAGCTTTTTGTAAAACAAAATTAACATATGAGGGACTAAGATTAACATAAAGAAAGAAACATAGTCCATAAATAAATAAATAAATAAAATGGATAAGTTCCATTTGATCACTCAAGTTTTAATTTTTTTCAAATTTCATCTATATTCTTTTAGGTTATTATGTTTTGATCTTAAACTTTATTTTATCATGTTTTAAATCAAGAGAGAAGAGAGAAAATCACAAAAAAAATTGAAGGATGAGAACGATTTTAGACTCATGAATTTCAGCAACCAATAACTTTAATTTTGAAAGAAAGAAACTCATTGGAAATGGTTTTTATCTTTAATGATGCTAGAAAAAATAAATTGTGTTTCGAAAAAAAAAAGATTTGATTTTGAGTTTTGAAGCTAATAATAAACTATTTTGTTTATTGAAAATAAAGTTTAAGATGTCCACTAGTTATTTAACTTGTATTTTGCTGTGAGTTTAATAAAAAATATTTTACATAAAAATTTGTGTAACAATTGTCAATGCATTTTTCTAGTAGTAAGAAAAATTATGAACATAAATTCAAAATTTAAAGCATGTTTTAATCTAGATGCACACCAATCATTTAAAGGTCTAAAGGTTTTGATGATAACAAAATATATTAGTAATATTGTATAACTATGATGAGAACAAAATATATGATTGATGTTGTTTAATATATGTTTTACTTTTATATCTTAAATTAACATAAAAGACTGATGTTTTGATTGATTTTATTTATTGCATTAATATTTTGATTTAAATAATGTATTTACATGAATAAGTGAATTGTGCAATTCTAGATATATTGCTTAGTACTACTAATGTCATATGGTGCAATGTTTTTAAAATATATTTAAAGTTCTTTAAATAAGCATGATAGATTATTTTAAGTACAACAAAGGAATAAATCAAGTTTTTTTGAAAATAAACTTTATTAAAAGAGAAACACTAAAAGAGTAAATAAGAACTTATCCTTTATTAAAGAGTCATGGTATCAATCTTATATTCTCTTAATTAATTGTGATATGTATTTATTAAAAAGAGGTATATAATATGTGACTTTATGTTTCCTCATGTTTATCTTAATTCTATTTTTATGGAATAAATAATTTGATTTGGATGATTTTTTGTCTAAAAGATATTTTTTAATAATGATATACACTTGATATACATTTTGTAGCAATATATTTATGTCATCATTGTATATAGTATAAGAAAAAATACATATGTTGTCTTGATTGAAAGTATTT